CAGGGCAAGGCTTAGGTGGCCATCCAAGCCTAGGGGTGGCCATCAAAGCCTAGAGGTGGCCATCAAAGCCCCCTGTGAAGCTGGGATGAGTGTGCAAAGCCCCCTGTGAGCGTGCAAGGCCTCACACAAGGCCTGATGTGAGCCCAGGGGTCACCAGGGCAAGGCTTAGGTGGCCATCAAAGCCTAGGGGTGGTCATCCAAGCCCAGAGGTGGCCATCCAAACCTAGGGGTGGTCATCCAAGCCCAAGGGTGGCCATCAAAGCCCAAGGGTGGCCATCAAAGCCCAAGGGTGGCCATCAAAGCCCCCTGTGAAGCTGGGATGAGCGTGCAAAGCCCCCTGTGAAGCTGGGATGAGCGTGCAAAGCCCCCTGTGAGCGTGCAAGGCCTCACACAAGGCCTGATGTGAGCCCAGGGGTCACCAGGGCAAGGCTTAGGTGGTCATCCAAGCCCAGAGGTGGCCATCAAAGCCCAGAGGTGGCCATCAAAGCCCCCTGTGAAGCTGGGATGAGCGTGCAAAGCCCCCTGTGAAGCTGGGATGAGCGTGCAAAGCCCCCTGTGAGCGTGCAAAAGCCCCGGTGCGAGGTTACCTGGGCGCTGCTGTTGCGGGAGAGGGCCTTGTAGATCTCGTCGATGTTGGTGGCCACCGACTCGAAGCAGGCGTTGAAGCGGTCGAACCTCTCCTTCTTCATCTGCTCAAAGGCCTGCTTGGCCTTCTTGGCCCGTTTCCGCGCCGCCTCGAACTCTGGGGGGGACATTGGGGACATGAGGACCTCCTTGGAGACATGAGGACATCTTTGGAGACATGAGGACATCTTTGGAGACATGGGGACATCCTTGGGGACATGGGGACATCCTTGGGGACAGCCCTAGGCCCCTGGAGACAGCCCCGTGGTGGACGTCCCCGTGATACGTGGGGTGGTGGTGCCCTTGGGTGGTGTCACCTGGTGGCACTTGTGTCACCCACATCACCGTCCCACGTCTCCCTGGTGGCCCCGTGTCCTCCTCCTCCTCCTCTGTGTCCCCATGTCTTCCTGGTGGCCCCAAGTCCTTGGTGGTCCCATGTCTTCTCAGGGGTCCCATGTCTTCCCTCTTCTGTGTCCCCATGTCCCTCCTGTGTCTTCCTGGTGTCCCCGTGTCCCTGGTGTCCCCACACCTTCTACATCCCTGGTGTCCCCATGTCTCTATGTCTTCCTGGTGTCCCCAAATCCCTCTGGTATCCCCATGTCCCTGGTGTCCTCCTGGTGTCCCCATGTCCCCACATCCCTCCCATGTCTTCCTGGAGTCCTTGTGTCCCCACGTCCCCTATATCTTCCTGGTGTCCCCATGTCCCTCCCGTGTCTTCCTGGTGTCCCCATGTCCCTGGTGTTCCCATGTTCCTGGTGTCTTCCTGGTATCCCCATGTCCCTCCTGTGTCGTCCTGGTGTCCCCTTGTCTCTGGTGTCCTCCTGGTGTCCCCATGTCCCTCCTGTGTCGTCCTGGTGTCCCCTTGTCTCTGGTGTCCTCCTGTGTCTTCTTCCTGGTGTCCCCTTGTCCCTAGTGTCCCCATGTCCCTGGTGTCCTCCTGGTGTCCCCATGTCCCTCCTGCATCTTCCTGGTGTCCCCATGTCCCTACATCCCCCTGGTGTCCCCATGTCCCTCCTGTGTCTTCCTGGTGTCCCCTTGTCCCTGGTGTCCTCCTGTGTCTTCTTCTTGGTGTCCCCTTGTCCCCCACATCCCAAGTGTCTCCACGTCCCTGAATCTTCCTGGTGTCCTCATGATGTCCCCACTTCCCTGGTGTCCCCACATCCCCATGTCCTCCTGGTGTCCCCTTGTCCCTGGTGTCCTCCTGTATCTTCTCCCTGGTGTCCCCATGTCCCTGGTGTCCTCCTGTGTCTTCTTCCTGGTGTCCCCTTGTCCCTAGTGTCCTCCTGGTGTCCCCCTGTGTCTTCTTCCTGGTGTCCTCCTAGTGTCCCCATGTCCCTGAATCTTCCTGGTGTCCTCACGGTGTCCCCACGTCCCTGGTGTCCCAATGTCCCATGTCCTCCTGGTGTCCCCTTGCCCCCCACGTTCCTGAGTCCTCCTGGTGCCCCCTTTTCCTCCTCGTCCCTGGTGGCCCCACGTCCCTGGTGGCCCCACGTCCCCAAGTCTTCCTGGTGTCCCCACATCCCCAAGTCTTCCTGGTGTCCCCTTGCCCCCCACGTTCCTGAGTCCTCCTGGTGTTCCCTTTTCCTCCTCATCCCTGGTGGCCCCACATCCCTGGTGTCCCCACGTCCCCCCTGGATGTGTCCCCACCGTCCGAGGTCTCCTGGAACTTGTCCCGGACGCTCTCCAGCTTCTCCATGGCCTTCATGTTGGGGGCGGCGATGCGCTGGAGGACGCTCTGCTGCTCCGTCAGACGCTGCTGCAGCTGGTTCATCTCCTGACGGATCTCCTCCTCCGCCTGCGCGTCCTGGGGTGGAAGAGGGGGGAGAAGGCGGGGCTTAGGAGGGCGGGGCACAGGGGGCGTGGCCTCACAGGGGGCGGGGCATAGCGGGGTGGGGCTGGGAATCTCCCCCAGGGTGGTGG